ATACACCGGGAATTGTTGATTAGGGCATTCACACAACGACTCGAAATATCAACGTATACTTTGACCAAAAATCTGGTTCAAAGACCCCTAAAAGGACAAGGTCGGACTGGGTTTAATGCACTGTCACCCGAGAGGTGACACACACGCTGGCGCTGCATATGCGGGGCGCTGTGACGAATGCATGTACCCACTCGGATACCAGCTACAAGGTCAAGGTTTGGCCGGACACACTGACCTGGGGACTTTGGCGTTCGGTGATGGCGGCGGCAACTCTCGTGCGAGTCAACGGTCGGCCACTGCAATTGGCCTCACGTCTCTCAGCACGGGCGTGCGGGCTCGGCCACCACTTCGCGTGGCTACACCTAGTCAGGTTCGGCGCTAGGTTCGAGGCACATACCAGAAATTTCAATTTTTGGATTCCACAATTCCTAAGTACTCAAATGGGAAGAAGGGTTTCTCCCCAAGACTCAAATCACAAAGGTTTGGGTTGACAACAACAATTTTCATAAAAGGGAACGAGCATTGGCGTCACCGCCAGGAACGATCCTAACTCGGCGGTCAACGCTGAACAACAGAATGGTTAGCTCGTTTTACTCTTCCGACTAACAGTGTCGGCCGTCACGACAGCTTTTACTCCGGTAGTTAATCGTGCCGGCAGTCCTGAACGAGTTCATCCACATACACAAGCTATAGCTTCCACACTTCGAGGTCTAGCATAAAGCTTCTTTCGCAAGTGTTTCCAGCTACATTATAATACTAATCAGATTAAGTCACATAGGGCACATATACATGAAAATTGACGAAAAGCTAATTTTTTGAAATTCACAACTCAATTTGGAAACCTAAACATGGACTTGCACTAATTTCCATCATGCGTGATGAATTTAAAATGCATGTAGCTTCCAGTCTAGAAATCGTATCATGATGAAACCACTTGAAAAATATCCCTAACTCAGGCCTCTATCATTTTCATGAAGAACAGTCAGACAGATAAAATCATTGAAATGCACATAATACAGTAAACATACAAAACATAGGTGCAGTGGATAAATGAAGACATACAGCTTGACAGGTTCTCAGTGTATGCACAATAACCGAAGCTACAAACATTATATTACTGAAATTCAAAATCTCCAAGATAGCTAACTCAATTATTTACAACTTTCATGTTGATCATATTTTCACATAGTCACATTAACATTGTCAAAAACAACCCAAATTCATGAATTACAATTCTGCCCGAAATTTCAAAAACTGCTTGCAGCTTCAACTTCAAAAATTCATAACAAATTCAATTCGACTCCGAATCATGAAATTCCAAAACTCGTAGAAACCTAACTCAAAGCACTACAAAATTTATGAAGAACAGCTAACCAGAAAACAGCTTGTAGGCCACGAGAATCTGAGCAAAAATAGCGGCTAAAACATGGAGTTTTCAATTAAATGCCAACCCAAAATCATACACTCATGAACCGAGCATCAACAAGTCATATACAATCACAACGTATATCTAAAAAACACATATATAAGATATAGGGAGGTTAGTCCTAACATGATTTTAAAACAAAT